AACTCTGTCTCTACTAAAAATTAAAATAAAAAAATTAGCCAGATGTGGTGGTGCATCCCTGTAATCCCAGCTACTCCGGAGGCTGAGGCAGGAGAATCGCTTGAACACGGGAGGCAGAGGTTGCAGTGGGCCGAGATTGTGCCATTGCACTCCAGCCTGGGTGACAAGAGCAAAATTCTGTTAAAAAAAATATTGGTTGGACAGTTATTTCCACTACCCTTGCTATTCTGCTTTGTTTTGTTTTTTGAGAGATAGGGGTTTCACTCCATCACTCAGGCTGGAGTGCCGTGGTGCGGTCACGGCTCACTGTTGCTTCAAGCTTTTGGGCTCAAGTGATCCTCCCGCCTCAGCCTCCTGAGTAGCTGGGACTGCAGGTATGTGTCCCCATACCTGGCTAAGTTTTATAAATTTATTTGTAGAGACAGTGTCTCGCTATGTTGCCCAGGCTAGTCTTGAACTCTTGGCTCAAGCCTCATGCCTTGGCCTCCGAAAGTGCTGGGATTACAGGTGTGAGCTGCTGTACCCAGCCTACCCTTGCTATTCTTAAAAAGTGTTTGTTGTTGTTGTTGTTACTAAGCTATTCTCTACCTTCAGAATTTTAAAAACTGAAATATAATTTGTACACCATAAAATTTACCCTTAGAAAGTACACAATTCAGTGGTTTTTAGTATAGCCATAAATGTGTGCAACCACCACAGTCTGATTTCAGAGCATTTTCATCAGCTCTAGGGGAAACCCTGTGCCCATCAGCCATCAGCCCCACATCCCTCACCCTCCCCAGCCCCTGGCGACCACCAAGCCGTTTTCTGCCTCTGTGTGTTCTCGCTGTCTCGTATGAATAAGATCGTGTGGCATGTGGCCTTTGTCTCTGGCTTCTTTCACTTGGCACAATGTTTCCAAGGCTCATCCATTCTCAGTACTTCATCCCTTTTCATGGCTGCATAATGCTCCATTGTGTGATTATGCCTTATTTTTTTATCCATTCATCAGTGGACAGATATATGATGCCGCTTTTTGGCTATAATGCTCCTGTGAACGTTTGTGTCCTTATGAATGTGTTAAAATCATCTTGTTGGCCAAGGATGGTGGCTCATGCCTGTAATTCAAGCACTTTGGGAGGCCAAGGCAGGTGAATTGTTTGAGGCCAAGGGGTTTGAGACCAGCCTGGCCAACATGGTAAAACCCCGTCTCTACTAATATTACAAAACTTAGCCAGGCGTGATGGTGCACCTCTGTAATCCCAGCTGCTCAGGAGGCTAAGACACAAGAATTGCTTGAACCCAACAGGCGGAGGTTGCAGTGAGCTAAGATCACACCACTGTACTCCAGCCTGGGTGGCAGAGCAAGACTGTCTTTAAAAAAGAAAGAAAAAAAGAAAGAAAATATTAATAAAAACAAATTAAAGGAGGAAGGAACCTACTCAGAAACATCAACCCCTTTCACTTGATTGTTCTGTGGATTGAAAAGTTCATGACTTGTAGTATCTATTGATTACCCTTCCTCTTCCAATGGGGCATGAGAAAGAAAATGGGGTGGGCTGGGACAGGGGAGAAGAAGCTGGGAGCTGCAGGTGCATGAGCCTAAGGGATGTGCCTGCAGGAAGGAGGGAGGGAGGTGGAGAGAGAAAGCAAGAGAGAGAGAGAAAGGAATGGAGGTGGCAAAGAGGCTTAGAGAGAGGCTGCGGGAATGAGTGAGCTTGTGCTGTGTTTGGCTCCAAGCCAGTGAGAGAGACTGGGGCGGGAGGGGGATGTCGGAGGCAGGGGCCCAGGAGGAAGAGCATCTGGTGAGAGCAGGTGGCTTTCACAGCCTCTGAGTATCTCCTGGGGCTGTCCGGCAGATCCCCAGTCCAGAGGAGCCTGCCAGTCTTAATGAAAACCTCTCCATAGGCCTTTCAGGTATTAAGGAGTGGGTGGACGGTTCATTCATTCACGTAATAATGAATAAGCGTCTATCCCGTGCCTGTCCTCTGCCACGTGCTGAGGAATCAGCCTGTTCAGAACAGACGTGGCCCTGCCCGTCTGGAGCTTCCTGTGTGCCAGGGGGACCACGCCTCAGTGCTGGTCACTCTGTTTCCACTTGTGCATAGCTCGGGCTGAGTCTGGTGCTGAGGGCTGTGCCTGTCAGACAGGCTCTGACGTGGAGCACAGCTACAGCCCTGAGCTCAGCTAGCTGCCTGGGACCGGGGTGCCCCGGATGGTGGGGCTGGGGGTGGGGGCGGGGATGCCAGTCTCAGAGCTAGAAAAACATCCTCTGGGTCCCTGGTCAGCAGTGGATGGGACAGGCCCAGGGACATCCCTGTGCCCGCCTCCCAGGACTGCCCACTAAGGGTCGTCTTCCGCAGAAGCCTGACAGCTGTGAGACCGGCCTGAGCAGTAACGGGCACTGAGGCAGCTTAGAGGGCTTCCTAGAGGCAGGCAAGGCCGAGCCCTCCCTAAAGGCGGCCATGGACTTTGTCATGAGGCCCTGTGGGTTCCTACAAAGCCACAGAAGGGCTGGCAGGGGCTGGTCCCTGGGAAGGCCTCTGCCCCCGCCTCCCAGGCTTAGGACCTCTGGTGCCATGAAAGGCCTCTGCCCCCACCCCCAGGCTCAGGACCTCTGGTCCCCTGCAAGGCCTCTGCCCCCACCCCCAGGTTCAGGACCTCTGGTTCTCTGCAAGGCCTCTGCCCCCACCCGCAGGCTCAGGACCTCTGGTTCTCTGCAAGGCGTCTGTCTCCACCCCAGGCTCAGGACCTCTGGTCCCTGGGAAAGCCTCTGCCCCTGCCCCCAGGCTCAGGACCTCTGCTGTAAGGACAGTTCCAGCTGGCCAGGGTCGTCTGGCCTCCCACAGGAACCTGGCAGCCACCCCATGTACCCCCAGGAGTACATAATCAGGTCTGGGATGGCCAAGGGGCCATACACAGTCAGAAAGCCCACACCTTGGCTTTGGCACACACCGATCAGAGAGCACAACACAGCCACCCAGGAACAGGCCAGAAGCAGGCCAGGAACCCTAACCTATGTGTGGTCCTCCACAGTCACCCTGCAAACTTGGCACTTTGACTTCTTGGGGACAGAACCTCTCTGCTTCCCTCCGCCTCCCAGGCCACACCCCTTCCGCTCATGATAGTGGGATTCCCCAAGTTTAGTCTGGCCCACACCTGCTGCACCCACACACCCTGGCGCATCCCCTCTCAGAGTGGCTGCAGATGCCTCCTGAGTCACCATTAGCAGCCTGGCCACCAGCCCTGACAGCCCTGCTGCCCGTGGGCTGATACACATCACACAAGCTGGGTCACCTGGATGACCATGGGGCTGTGATGTGCCTGGCATGCTGCCTGGCACAGAGGCACCTGGTGGGGTGGTTTGCAGTCAGAACCTTGGAGGGAGAACAAGTTCACACAAGGCAGCCTCCGCATTGTCTGGGCTGGGCTCCATGCAGTTAATAAACAATGTCCGCTGCAAGAGTGTGGGGCCACTGCCCTCCTCACCCAGGTAATTAAAAGGCCATCTTTTAAGTAATTAAATGGTTAAGTCTGCATGGCTGAGGAGGTGACGGCAGCTCCGTTCTTCCCCAGGGTGTGTGCATGTGCATGGGAGTGTGTGTGTGTGTGGGGGGGCAAGTGTGTGTGCACGAGTGTGAGTGTGTGAAGATGAGCATGTGAGCTATTGTGTGCACATGTACATGCAAGTGTGAATGTGTACATGTGAGTGTGAATGCATGTGTGTGTGCATGTGAGCAAGTGTGTATGTATGCGTGCACATGTGAGTGCATGAGGCTGTGTGTGTGTGTGTGTGTGTGTGTGTGTGTGTGTACTCTGACTTGGAGAATACCAGACAGTATCAGCTGTTGAAGTGGGGCTTAGGCCACAGCTGCCTGCACGGGCCTTCCGCTTCTCCTGCTCAGCCGGCTCCAAGCAGCATTTCAAACCCACAAGTGTCCACGAGCTTCTGCTCCCACATTCCGAGGAACATGGACGAATCTCTATAGGGTCAGCAGGAGAAAGCCTGAGCTCCGAGGGTGGCAGAGGGACCGGGCAAAGGACTGCCACTTCTCCAGCCCATCTGTGGCCATCCCTTCCAGGCTGGGTAGCCGTGGTGCTCCTCAGGCCAGTGTCCCAGCCAGGCCTGCACGCCCTCGTCCCTCAGGGACTCTCTGCCTGCCTGCTCTCCACTGCATCGCATTCCACGTCTGTCCGTGGCAGCACTGTCAGGGGGTGAACCACAGGCACAGACGTGTACACAGCACACAGCAGGGCCAGCGAGGAGAGGATGCTATGAAGAAGCCAGGTGCAGAGGATGAAGTACTCGGGTAACAGCCTGCCCCTGGATCCCAGCTCGGCCACGCTCCTGCCGAGGGAGCCCCTCCTGTCCTCTGAGCTGCGGGTTCACCCATCTGTCAAATGCAGTCATTAAATAACTGCCCTGTCCACCTTCTGAGCCTGCTGTGAGACCAGGAACTTTGAAATAAAACCACGAACATCAAAGCCTCATGAAAGCTGCGGAGAGCGGTCCACAACCAGGTTCTGCCACCATTTCCCAGTGGGGCGGCCGCCTGGGACACACACACCTTAGTGTGGCCACCAGAACACCCAGGCACTGGGCCCAAAGCCCCCTTACTCATCAGGACCAGGGAAGCCAGGAGTCCCCCCTGACCAAGACACAGTGCCAGGAAGAGACAGTGCGGGCCAGCCCAGGAAAGATGCAGATTTAATACACACCATGTTTCTGTGAAGACGCAGTGCTGCTCACGGCCTCCTCGCCCCCCAATCAGTACTTGCATGTGAAACTACCCCCAGGGACCCTCCCGCCACTCTCCTGCACAGAGTCAACCATCCCTTACTGGAAGTCCCCCCCTGCTCAAGAGCAGGCATGGAGCTGAGGGCACAGGGAGGGGCGCATTACCAGAATGAGCCTCGAGGATGGAGGGTATGGGGGGACTGGCCTCATGCCTGCAAACTGCCAGGATGGCTGACAACCCCGACTTCAGAGGCTACCTGGGAGAGCGGCAGAGGGGACTTACCTCTTCCTCGGGCCCAGGTGTAGACGCGGCTGCTCTCGGAGCTTCTGGTCTCTCGCTCGGCCAGCTCCACAGGCAAAGGCCGGAGGTGGGGATCATCAGCTCGGCCAGGGGTCTTCAAGGGCAAGATATACTTGGGGAGCCCTTTGTAGAACCAGGCCCCCGACCTCTTCCAGACCTGGATGGAGGAGAGAGCTGCCTGGAGCACAGGATGCAGAGGGGCCTCCCCTCCTGCTCCTTGCCCAGAGGACGGGAGGCACGCGGAGAGCCAGTAGCAGTGTGGGGGTGGGAACTCTGGCTCTGCCCTCACTGGCTGATGGGCTGGGCAGTCACTTACCTTCCCAGGACTCAGGACAACTTGGAGCTAAGTTCCATGAACTTTCCAAACTCTTTCTCTCCCTTGTTTTAGAGTTGAGGCCTTGCTCTGTTGCCCAGGCTGGAGTGCAGTGGTGCAATCATCACCCACTGCAGCCTCGACCTTCTGGGCTCAAGCAGTCCTCCTGCCTCAGCTCTCCTCAGTGCCATGCCCAGACCCCCAGCTTCTCAAGGACAACACCCCTGGTCCCTCAGCTGTTCCAAGCTCCCTCTCATCGAGCCACCCCCTCTCGCCAGTATTTGTCACTACCCCTCAGGAGAGGGGCTCAGAAGTGGCCACAAAGCTCCAGACTTGTTCTGGCTGCCCGCAGGGCACAGTCACCGGCTTTCCACCTATTTCCTGCCTGGGCTCTGTCTTCCTCAGGCCCTGAGCCTCCCAGGAGCTCCCCCTGACTCCATGTAGTCCCACAGGGCCTCTGAGAGCCAGGTGGGTCCGAGGGTGCCTGCCAGGGCCCATGCAGATGCAAAGCATCCCTTTATCGCTGACCTGGGGAAGAGAGGAGTCACCCTAAAGCTGGCAAGACAGACACCCCCTGAAGGCTGGCAGGGCCCCAGGAAGCTGGGGATGCTGACCCTGAATTCACAGGGTGGGAGGCGCTCTGGGTCTGGGATGCACAGCCCCTTGGGCTCTGACAGGCCCTTCTGTTCTCTGTCACCCCCAGCTTGGACACCCAGGCTCCCTACTCCTATTGTCCCTGGAAGCAAGGTTGAATCAATGGCAGCTGCCACATACTGGCTGTGTGGCTTTCAGTGAGTTACTTAACCTCTCTGAGACTGAGTTTCTTCATTGACTACATTGATTAAATGTGACAGCTGCTAAGAAAGTTGAAAAGTGCTCATCAGAGCAAATGGCACCCAGAAGGTGTTCACAAGATGCCATCTGCCTGCCTCCTTCCTGCCCCTGCTCCTCCCCCTCGAGGCTCCAGGGCAGAGCCACAGAGGCTGGAGGGAGAGCTGGGCTGGGCCGCATCACAGCAGGTGCGTGCTCTTCTCTGAGAGCTTCTTATGAGACAGTCTCTCCAGCAGGAACAGAAAGGACCCACTTCGCAGGAGAGCTGCCAATTAGAATTCAGAGCAGCAGCTGAGTTAAGGTCCCTAAATTTTTAATGCCTCCTTCAGAAAACACCACATGCTGTATAATCTCTTTTCTGATGAAGGAAATAAATTCAGGGCATTTAGTCGGGAGTGGTGGGATTTTGTAAAGGAACATTTTGCAAGAAACCTCAACTGACTTCACCCTTTTCAGAGCAGTGCAGGCCAAGGTTCTGAGCAGATGTCCTGAATTTGAACCCTGGGTCTGGCACCCAGCACCTGTGTGACTTGGATACATGGAGCTCCCTGGCCCTCAGTTTCTTTGTGGGTGGGCAAACACAGGATCTGCGCTCATCTCACAGGGCGGACCTGAATGAAGCTGAAGCCCCAGGGCCCAGCGCCAGGCACAGAGCAACCTCTCCACAGAGGAGAGGCCCACGGGTACTCCTGCCACCCTCTTCCTCCCACCTGGAACACAAACAACTTTACCACCAGTGGACCAATTCCCTACTTGAAGAATTTAAAATCAGAAAACCGGAATCTGCCGATTCTGAGACATTGCTTCCCACTCCCCAAACTTCCCCTGCACCACATAAATACTGTGGGATATTAACAAGAGCCAGGTCAAAAAAAAAAAGGTTTCTAATCATATACACTTGAAAAGCATCAGGTTAAACCAAGCTCCATCACTACAGGCCTTGTCAGAGCCTTTACTATGCTAAAGTGCACAGGGTTATCCGACAGGCAAAAGAACACATGGTGCTCTCGATTCGAAATCTGCCCGGCTGGCTCTCCTAGAGAAACTCGACCTTAGGATGGGTCTGTGTAGACTCAGCACTTATCCAGCTAGCACTTACTGTCCACTCGTGGACTGATGTGTATCTGCCTCTCCAAGTAGGCTCGAGGCACCTCCTCAAACTGCAGAGCCCCCGGAGCAGGACCGCCAAGTCCAGACAGGGTCCCGACGTGGATCCCTCCCTGCCCCTGCCAGCCACCCTGAGTGGAGGGCCTGGAACCTGTCTGGTGGGATGGAGGCGTCATGGCACCATTTTGGAAAACCCTTTCTGATCCCCTCGGAGCCTTCCTACCACATGTATTTACGTGAATGGGTAATGCAGGCACGTAGTCTAAAAATCCGCAGCGCAAAAGTAACCAGTCTCCTCCCCCATCCCCAGAGATGTTTGAGGAAGCTTGGTGATTATCTCTGCTTTTCAGGTGGGGAAACTGAGGCTCCAACAAGTTCAGCAATTTGCCCAAAGCCAGCACATATTCTGTTGGCCTCTACTCCACTGGGAAGGCCGGAGTCCCACCCAGCAGTTTACAGTTGTGAGGTGGCTGCTCACTAATAAAGCGGTTGAGTGGTGAATAAATCCTGAGTGGGTCAGATGTCAGGGTGTGCTCTCAGCACCCTACAGGCAGGAGGAAGAAGCAAACAAACAGCAGCCACCACGGCCACCCTCTCTCTAGAGAGCTGCTGCGAGGCTCATTAGAGCAGGTGCCCAAGTCCAAGAGGCCACGGCAAGGCCACGGGGGCCATGGGGTGAGGCTGGCTGCGCCTCCCACTGACGAGCAAAGGCTCTGAGCACACCACCTCCCTGTCCTCTGCCGTGGACTGGGCCTGGGGCCAAGCCCTGAAGAGTCATCTGCGAACGGCGGGGCCTGCGCAGGCTTCGAAACGCACACCACACTGTCTCCCCAACCCGCCACGGAAGCTTTCTCTTTTTGCTTTTTTTTTTTTTTGAGACAGGGTCTTGCTCTGTCACCCAGGCTGGAGTGCAGTGGCGCAATTGGCTAACTGCAGCCTTCACCTCCCCAGGCTCACGTGATCCTCCCACCTCAGCCTCCTGAGTAGCTGGGTCTATAGATGGTGTGCACTGTATTTTTGTATTTTTCTAATTTTTGTAGAGATGGGGTTTCACCCTGTTGCTCAGGCTGGTCTCAAATTCCTGGGCACAAGCAGTCTGCCCACTTCAGCCTCTCAAAATGCTGGGATTACAAACATGAGCCACCACGCCTGGCCTCCCCCCTGTTTTTTTCCTGAAAAATACCTACCTAGCATACAAAATTAGCACCATAACAAAAGAGTAAAATGAAACTGGGTCACCTAAACGTTACCGCACAGAGCCAGCCCTGCTGAGCATGGTGGCGTGGACTTGCTTTCACCCTTCCCCAGGCACACGCACTATTTGTTTTCTGTTTTTTTTTTCAAAACTTGGCTAACGTAGATGCAGCCTGTTCCTCTGACACACACCCAACCACGTGTCACAGCGGTCACTCCGTATTCATAACTGTCTCCATCATCACTGTTTAATTGCTCCACAGTTTGCATTTATTACGGACGTCTGAACTGTCTCCAACCTCTGTCCTCACAAGCAGCGCTGCAGCCGCCACCCTGTACCCTCCACATCTGACCAGTTTCAGTCACTGTCTTAAGAAACACGGGTTGAGTGCTCTTTTCCAAAATGCTGGGGAGAGAAGTGTTTCAGATTTTGAGCTTTTTCAAATTTTATCATATTTGCATTATACTTAATGCAAGTTTGGCATCCTAAATCTGAAAATCCAAAATCTGATATGTTCCAATGACCATTTCTTGAAGCATCACACACTTAAAAAGTTTCGGATTTTGGAGCATTTCAGCTTCTGGGTTTTCCGATGAAAGATACTCAGCCTATATTCCACAGGGTAAAATTGCAGGTCAAGAACTGTGTATGTTCTGATGATGACATCTAGAGTCAGGCCGCCCTCCAGGAGGAAAAGCATGCTCCCAGGATGCTACATTAAGTGTTTTCGGGGTGGGGACCTGGTCTTCTTAGCTCCCTGGTGGAATCCAGGGTCTACTCTGTGGATACTGATCAGGGTGGATCCCATGGAACCATCATGGGCTTGGGGAGAGGCATCTGTCAGGGCATGAGGCCACCAGCACAAGGTGTGCAGAACAATGGAGCTCCTTGCCATCCCTGGGTCACGCCTTTAGGGTTAAGAGATCTCCCCCACCTCACGCCCAGCCAGCCGAGGCCCTATTTAATGGGAGTGGACAGGCTGATGCTCAGGGTGACTCAGCAATGTAGCCGAGCCTTCTCTGCTGTGAGGCATCAGGGAAGAGACTAAGAAGCCCCACATGGCTGCATTCCCGCACACTGCAGGGCCGAGCGCCTCGTCCGTGCAGGTGAGCCGCATCTCACAGCCTTCTTCCTGGCTTCTCCTTTGCAGCACTGGACCACAGGTACGCATGGTCCCTTTTTTAAAAAAATCAAAACATTTTTTCATTGTGTTAAAATATTCATAACATAAAATGTATCGCCCTAAGCGCAACCAATCTCCAGAACTCCTCATCTTGCAAAACTGAAACTCTATAACCACTAAGCAAAAGCTCTCCGTTCCCCTGCCCCCCGCCCCCAGCCCACTGTCTGTCCCTGGGAATATGACTACTCTATGTACATCCTAGAAGGGGAGTCACATGGTATCTGCCCTCTCACGGCTGCCGTGTTTCAGCCGGCATCACTTCTCCAGGGTTCATGCATACGGCAGCGCGTGTCAGAATGTCCTTCCTCTCGGAGGCTGAGAAATGTCCCACTGTATGGACAGGTCCCACTTTGCCATCAGTTGGCAGATACTCGGGGTGCTTCCAGCCTTTGGCTGGTCCTTCTGTTTTCACTGTCCCCCCACAGAATCCACCAAGCAGGAGGACGTGTCGCAGCTGTCTTGCTCACCACGGTGTCTTATGCTCCCAGCACACGCCTGACACTTCGTAGGTGTTCAGTAAACGCTGGC